CATCCGTGGAAGAGGCGTTCTGATATGCCTTCTCTTTCGCCAGCTTGTCAATCAACACTGCTGATACGCAACACACGTAAACACCACAATCCTCTTTCTTGTTTTGTTGCGAGCATCTTGGATGAAGAAGTCAACGACCAAACATATCTCTGCAGGTGTTCCATGATGTGTCCAGCATCTCTTGAGTCAAATCATCTCCGTTGTAATGGTGACAGAGGTACTCGTGCCAGAAAAATGTCCGCAATGCCTTCCATTGTTAACCTTTCTCCCCTTGATATGAGTCCACAAGTATGGCAACTGACGGTCTGCTGTCAACAAAAAAAATCCCCCACTTTCAACAGCACGAGAAACATCCAATACTCCTCGTGGTTCACAGAAATTTGAGCACCACTGGAATTCTTCGCAGTTTGTCACAGAGTCCACTCAATTTTTTCGAACGATTCTTTATATGTGTTTCCCACCTTTTTTTCGCAACATTAAATTTTTAATGTACGATGATAACTGCATGCCAGGAACTTGTTCAAATACAGACTGCAGATACATATTCATTATTCTGTCATTCGGCCACTTCTGGTCTCCCAAACGCAGAATGTCCGCTTCCATGACTGTTGCTTCGTGTGTTCTTGTTTTCCATGTGAACGAAAACAAACCGTCCTCATTCACCTCCTCGATAGCCCATGAGCTGTCAGAAGAGTCGTCATCATCTTCGCCTTTATCACTTTGCTTCAACGGGCCTTCCGTTGTCATATGCAGCGAGTGGATATATCATGTCGTCAATAGCGAGTACATCTCATTAAACCAAGGGAGCTTACCCAGGTTTTTCCACCTCCTCTTCGATCTCTCCCTCGACCACTGTGGAGGCACATTTTGCAAGGACTTCGCGTCTCCCTCGCCCATTGTGAGGGTGACATTTTGTCTCTCTGTCATACTGATCACGCTTCGCTCATGTGCAGTTCCACTGCTCTCTCCAATCGCCAATTTTTCAGTTTCAATCGCCCTGTAAATGTGCATGTTCGCCTCCTGTTGAGAACGATCACGTGGCGACCTCCTTCGTTTTTGTGGCGGTTTCCTTGAATCCTCTATCATGGATGATCTGACAGTCTGCGTCTTTGTTGTTTCTGACATTTTCTCTGTGACACAAGTGTGTAACAATTTCATTTGCAGGGAATAAGGTTACTTATTTACGATGTTCAATGGTGACATGCAAACCTTGAAAATAACATCCATTGAAAAAGAGATAGAGAGTGAGAAAGACGTTCACTAGTACGGACATTTTTGGCTTATATGGTGCCGGTTGCCGAAGCGACAGACACCCACTTGTGAACCTTTGGCATCTTGTTTGAGAAACTATCGTACCACCTTCCATGTCGAAACGTGCATGCATAGCATGAAGGACTGATATGTTCACACACCCTTCACTGATGTATTMCCTCCCGCCACATTCTGCAACACATATTTGTTTAACTAAAAACTGTCTGAACGTGGTTGTGCATGTACGGAAGATCCCCATTGCGGTTTTGCAAAACATGAAACAATATGAACGGTGTCTATTATGGTGTCAATAGAGATAACGCTACTGTGATGACGATTGTTGATCTTCTCCCATTTTAAATTCTTACAACCTGTGACATGTTCTCTTTCACTATCCACCTCCTTATACCACTGCACAAATGCGCACTTGTGCGGGTTCGTCACTTCGCCTGTTTACACATTAATTACACAAAACATTGCCAGTGACACATATCATGTTGATCCCTAATGTGCTCTTACGGCGATATCATTATGCACTGCCCTTCCATGAAACTCTGGGGAAGCTCTGGCAGTTTGCATAACTGCTCCCCTGTTTGTGCCGACATCTGTCGAAACGACGACCAATTGAGTTCTGGTGTGTATCCACGCATCTTCACTTGGGGAAGGGCAATCATTTTCGCTCATGTACGTGTTCAGTGCCGCTCAAAATTGTTCTTTGCACGGGGTGTGAGGCAGTATCTTCAGCGTGATGGACGTCATGCCTGCCGCACCATTCTCTAGTGATGGTTCATCAAATGAAAACCACCGAAGTTGGAGCGTCGCTGTGTCGCGTGCAATTCGGTCGTTGAGAACTCTATCACGAACGACCAATTCTCCGTCGACCTTCTTCTGCGTCTCCTTACCAAATCATATTCTTCCTGTAACGCAAGCGAACGCCGAACGTGGTTCACCATTTGGGATGCAACCTTGCATTTATTCGACGAGTGATACGGGTATTTGCAGAACTTCCTGTGGTGGTGCTCCCACACATCAGCGGCGAACGTGTCTGGTAGACCTGATCATTCTATGCATGATCTAAAATGAAGAAGATCGTGCACTTTAGGAATTTTCCACGCGGACGTTTGATATTCTTTCATTTGAGTTTTCAAACTCGTTATGAAATCGGTGACCAGTGTATCTTACTTGTCGAGCGATGGGCAGTTGTAAGTTGTGTTCCGAAATAGACACATGTACAGTTTCATAAGCTTACTGAAACAACTAGTCATTCTTATCCCTGCCCTGGTGAGAATACTATTATGTACAATAAATACGCATACGGTCATCACGGACCGATTTTGTTTAGCTTAAAACCGTCCCTCTCTATAAAAAAAGTCGCTGTTTGTTGCAACGGGTAACACAAGTTGTGAAAATGTCCGAGTACACCTTTCGCTTATGATTTGTAGCCTATTATCGAGTTCCTTCAATATGGAGGTTTGTGGGATATGGGTCAACTTCTCAAATGCAGCCGTTCTAAATGCATTTATCATGTGCAAGAACATGCTGTGTTCTATTGTGTGCATACAGTCTAGTTGCGAAGCCATGTGGTAGTCCAACAGGGGATCGTCTCCGACTGGACCCCTATAGAATCCCCACAAACCATTGTGTTCGACATGGTTATGCATGTTTAGATTCATCAACTGCGCTTTCGCTGCCCGACTAATGTTTGCATCGTCTGTGTTGAACACGTTCCCTATTAGCTGTTTTTCCAAAGTATCAGACCGCCTACAATTAGTAAAATCAGCAACCACATCCAAGTCGGTTTTTGCCATCGTGCATGTCGGACACACTCCGAATTTTATATTTTCCATCACGCATCTCTCCGAGTAGTCTTGTATGTTGTTCAGAAGGGGTGCACAATTATCTTACCAAAGCGTTCACTATGAATAACTATGCCCTCATGCGATGCATCATTTGCGAACTGCAACACAATGGACAGTGCCTTATGTAATATTTACGCTTTCCGTCTTCTAAATGTCGTTGACTTCAAACCCCACCCGTTGTCTCGTGGCCTGTGGTGAAGCACAGGGAGGTATGCAAGAAGTGCTGCGTCCGTAGCACGATCTGTAATGGACATCATCAGAGGGTACGCTTTCTGTTTCTGTCGTCCGTCCACATGTGTTTTGTCGAAATACAAGCAAAACGGCATAACGTAACGTTTTTTACCATTCGTATCGAAACCCTTGTCCGCTTTCACGATTGTCTGCACGTGGTAGCTCAAACTTCCAGTGCGGGCAGTAGATATATGGTGATTCTGTGATGGCGGGGGCACCTTTAAGTCAAACACCGTTTCCACATTCTTTGTCGCTGCCACAAGCAACGACGTGAAGGTTATACGCCAATCGCGCCACCACAACATGGCATGCGCTTCTAACGACCAGTCGTCACTTCTAAGGTCGCTCTCCTACCAACCATTCACTGCAACTTGGGTGCCTGCCCAGTGCAAACATTTGCGGCTGTTACAATACGAGATGTCATGTGCCGTGAATCTGGGATCTCTAAGTACTGACAGAAGAGCATCGATATCGTTTTGAAACATGCCGACGCCACCCCGCGCGGACAACATGACCGCGACTACTCTTCGTAACGTGTCAAATGTCGGAGCAACACTCGGACCTTCGTCTTCAGATAGTGTATTTACTTCTTCGTTACATGGTGCTTCGATAAGGTTGTTTTTCGATATGTCAACATTCATGGCAACATCATGTTCCTCCCCTGTGTCGTTCATCCTTTCACTCTCATCTGCTGGAGTCCGATGCAATGTGATGGGCGGACATGCCTTTGCTCGATGCGAGTTCAACATTCGTAACGAGTTGAAAGGACGACTACAGTCGCACAACATACATGCACCCTCCATATTCTATTTTTTTTTGTTCTTGCAGCAGATGCGCTTTACATCCTATACGAACGACCTGCACTTATGTTAATGGCGCTATTAATATATTCCAAAGGATGACGCATGTTTGTGTTTTCATTCTCGTATACAGAACAACAACAAAACAATATGTCCATTTAAACGTCATTAGCAACATGTTGAATGTTATTCTCTTTCAATGTAATGTTTTAATGACCGTTTCTGCATTCACGCAGGATTCATTCATGTTCAACGCTTACGAAAATGTGCTCAACACTCGCTCATTTCATCTTCTGTTTTATTGCATCACTTAGCAGTCGTGGATGTTTTTTTCTTTTTCTTTCGTTCCTTCTCATTGCATTTTTCATATATGTACACTGTTACTCTCTCACACACACACACACATACACACACACACAGAGTTAGTGAACAATGTTTGTCTGCTAATTATTAACAGTGCATGTGCTAACGATAATGTCTGACATGAGTCTCTCACTATGACACAAAGCAATCGGCCTACGCCTCTCTCTCATACTACTCATATCTGTTGCGCTTTGTCGGTGGTGGTGCCATCTTGTCGCTCTCTACAACAAATTTCACGATAGTGTGTGTGTGATGCATGCAATGTCAGAGCGAGGTTGTCCATGAATAATCGATAGGGTTGTTGACATTGCAGGATGCAATGTAGCACCACACGCAGTTGCCACTGCTCCGTGTATAAGGCAACTGAGGTTCTCTCCCCATGACATAGACGTCGACAACACAGCTTGTCTGTTCACTAGCACAAACCAAGATTTCCCCACACATGGCCATCGTTTGCCATTCTCGCACGCTTTCATTAGAGCGATAAACCCCGCACATTGGAGTCCGCCATCTGGTGTTTTATCCCTCTCCACGACCCGTATGAGTCCATGAAGATCTGCAAACACACGTGCCAACCTCAATATTCCATGGCACCACTCTTTTGTCACTTGAGTGCCACCTCCCTTTATGTCCCAATAAGGATCATATTCCTCGCCATCCTTATCGCTGCTAACATCACTACCACTGACTTCCACTGTGGGAGGCGATTTGTTTCCATCTTCATCTTCGACTTCTTGCGAGACCGCATCATTATTTGTGTCTTGTGCATCTTCAGTCGCAAACACTTGCTCCCCTCGACGTGAACGCACTTCCTCTCGTAATGACCAGCCTGTGATTATGTCCTCTGCGGCAACCTCTCCTGGAGCTGAAGTTATCACTGATTGATTGACTGCGGAGAGCGGCATCTCTATGCGTGCAGATGTCACGGTCCCTTGTGTTGTTCCTTGAGGTGGAAGCAAAGCACGTCTTGCCACCATTGTCCATACTTTTGTCCTCTTCCTTTGTCTCTCCACTTCAGAAGCCGCCTGGCCAAGTTGTCGCAAGACCGCCATGATTGTTCCTTCGCACAATGGTGTCCCCATCACGAGCTCATCCTCCTCATTCTTGTTGCTGTATTCCATAATGTCGTATGCATCAATTGCTTGCTCCGTCACATCATGTAACACCTCACGGATGATATTTTTGTCCTCTGAAGGTTTCTTCATGAAATCCACCATTTGGTCCAGTAGAACGTACTCTACACCATCCGCAACTATCGTTCGAAGATCATGGAAGTCTTTTGGGGATGCTTGTGGTATCTCTTTTATCCTTGACAACGGTGAAATTTCTGCTCCGTTTACCTTCATATCATCCTTTGTTCCCCCTTGGACCATTCCTGCACTTCTCGCCTGAAATTTCATGAGTTTCTTGAATTCTGTGGTCCCGTAAACACCTCCTTTCTGTTGCATCGACATGTCAATATTTGTATCCTCACACATCCATTCATCGACTCCCTTCAGGCTATACGCTGACTCCTCGGTCTGACTTTCGCTATGCACTGCTCTTGTTCGCTTCAGGCGGTCCAAAAGATGTACTGTTGTGGTTGCCTTGTCTCCATTTGCAGCAATCGTCCTATGGATGTTCACCCTGACATTGAAGTACGCAATCACTTTTTCCTTCAACATCTCCAGCTCCATGTTGCTATCATAGTGAACACCTCTCGTTGCATATTTCATCACCTCAGAGAGAGCTGACTGTACTTCTTCTGCCGACATAGACATGATGCTTGTTCTTCTCTGTTAGTTTCGTTTGTCAGTACAAGGACGCAATGACGTCAACCACTCCAGTTGTCGACTTTGCCATGGCGTGAAATTTGAAGGACATGCAGACGGAAAACACACACGCACACACAGACAAACACACACAAACACACACACACACAACCACACAACGACCCCCCCCCCCCCCCCCCCCCCCCCCCCCCCACACACACACACATACATACACAAACACACACAAACTGACACACACACACACGCTCGTACATGTCGCGTGTACCAAGGTTCACTACTGCGTGTCCTCAACACGAAAAAACTACGTCTTTGTATGTGGAAAGGGCACACACTAGCGAACTTCGCCAAAAGCGATGCTCATGACCCGCATAAGGAAGGAACAAGATTCAAGCCTCTATAACCACGTGTGAATCTTCTTCGTACGAAAAAAAAAGAAAAAAGATGGCAAGCATTAAATGTTCCCCGTGTCTGGGGAGTCACATCACAGAAAACCGATAATCTTCTCCAAACAAAAATAAAAATGGGGGAAAAGGGATACTAAGTTATGAACAAGATCGCCCTCACATTCATCCCCCACAGACTTCAATGCAGCCAGATACATCCTCGAAGCCTTGAAATAGAAAGTCCGGCATGCATAGACGGGGAGTCATGTAAAAAATTGACATACCGCGAGGCAGCGGGCTCGCAGCCCGCAGCGCAGACCAACGGAACAAAAAATTTGTATGTATCTGGGTGGGAGGAATCGAACGTCCATCTGTATTTCAACAGTACAGGAATGTCAAAAGGAAACTAAAAAGTACCAACGACATATGATGGCCCTTGCTCCCCCCCCCAAAAAAAAAACGAAACAACAGCAAATCGAAAGCAAAATAAACAACTCACGAACCCCTCCGAGACCCATCCACACAAACAACCGGTCGCCAGTAGCCTTCCCTCAGATTTTTGGGAGCCGCTCATAAATTCAGGTCCCAGACGGATTCCCCACCACTTTACCCCCTCTCTCTTAATCCTGCCAGCTTCCTAACTACCGTCACCTACCATAAACATAGGCATACCATAAATAAAAATTATTTTTATATTTTAAATTTTATTTTGAAATTGGTAACGAATTTCGATATCACCCTGAGGCAAAAGTTGTTCAGTTTATTTTTCTGAATAACATAGTTATTGTTCGGATTTTATTGATTTTTTTTTTTTTTTTTTTTTTTTTTTACCTTCCCTGGTCCTTGGACGGCCGGGCCGTCCGGGAACTGTCTCTTATACACATCTAGATGTGTATAAGAGAGAGATCTCTCTCTCTCTCTCGTTGTCTCTCTCTCTCTCTTTGTATCCTCTCTCTCTCTCTCTCTCTCTCTCTCTCTCTCTCTCTCTCTCTCTCTCTCTCTCTCTCTCTCTGCATTTGTAAAGTCTCATGATCATACATGCGACATAAATAATATTAGTTTCTTGATACATGCCACAAAAATACATGGCCTACTAAAAGTTTGACCAACCCTAAGTTTGCAAAATCAGTCTGCGGCACAGTCCACGGTCGTGAAAGTAAAACAATGTCATTGAGAGCGACGGCTTACAATTCCTCCATTGCGATATAATATTGTTGTTGTTTTCAAAGTGTCTTACCCTTGTTGTTCGCGAAACTTGATATTAGTGTTTCAATTTTAGTTGTTTGTTATACGATTGTTATCATCGGAGCGTCACGCGGCCTCGCAGGTGTTCATGTACAATGCACCGCTGCATCGCACATGTCGTCACAAACCCAGTATTAGAGTCTTGCACTTAAAATTTATCTCTCTCGTTCTCTCCCTGATTCACTGCCACGTGGTTTTGCAAGAACTTCAAACTGATAATCATCTGCAGTGAAATTTGTGTCACGAGCCGTATTGCTTTGCTTGCCGGGTGTTCCTGCGTTGAAGAATGCCACAACCTTTTCTGCAACCGATGTTGTGCGGTCAAGCTTTTATATTGGAAAGCTCATTATAATGTCGCGATTACGTACCGACGTCAAAATATCGAGAAAAGGTTAACCGACCTCCAAGTTTTTACCTTTATTTATAAGAAAACCATAAGGCCATCCCCAAAAAACTTCACACCAATCTTTATAGTGCATCTCTTACTAACATATTATAAAAAAAATAGCAAAAAAATAAAAATAAAACACATAAAACAGCAACTTAAAAGTGCATTTTCACTTGTGACAATATCCTGCTTAATTACTGCTAATTTTTGAATGTGCTCTGATGCTTTGCTTGTCTTCTTAGTCTGTTCAGTTTCAGATCGCACAACAATTTCTGCAAATACCAGTTGTTGCAAGGTCACCCCGACCCTTCCATCATCCATTCCCATCTGAAAAACTTTATCTACCACTATCTCAAATGGTTTTGCACCCCACGGATCATTGTCCAACTGTCTCTATGATTTATTTGTCTGCATCTCTGCCCGCAAGTTCTTGCGCACTTCCTGTTGGTGGTTCATTTCTGCACATCGCAGGAGTGATAGTCCATTCTCTTCCCAAAACCAGTGTTTCAACTGCCATGTTATCTCTCCTCTCACCGTTATCATGACTCTGTTACATTCCACCATCACTGACCCCACTCCTATATTATCCATATACATACTGAGTCCCTCCTTCACATTTTTCCCTAATATGTTTGGTGTTGATTGCAGAGATGCAAAGAAGTCGTCCTCCGAGGGGTACATTGTTGCGTCCTTCGCAGTAGTGAATGCATACACCTTTGCGATTGAACGAAATAATTTATCCTTTGTTTTCTTAGAAAAATGTATATTGCCTATGTCGTCAGTCTGCTCATGGTATTCTCTCTTTCTCTATATGTTTGACTCTTCCTCGACAATGTCGCCCCCTGGTATGAAACGACGGAAAGACATAAAAAGACATCAAACAACGTACATGCCACAACAACACATAATTTTATTAATAGTTTTGTAATATTTCTTAACTTCTCTTTGTGCATCATTATAAGGAGGACATATACGAGGTTTGAGGTTGTAAATGACTACTTTTAATAATGTACTTACGTTGTTGCGACGACGACTCCTTGCGCATCAACTGCTTGTTCGTCTCAACTTTTCCTCCCACCCCTCATCCATGTGTTCCTTCACTTTCACGTTTTCTCTTCAGGTTACTTCATGACTTCTTGTTGTCCTCGTCATTGCTATAGTGTGAAGTTTCCTCTTCTTCATCATCGTTTGCGTCACTGCTTACACTGTTGCTTTTCTATTGTACGCCACTCTCGTCTTCTTGTTTTGAATCTCCTATTGTCTCTGATTCACCATCACTGCCCTCGTCGTCTGTTCTCGCATTTTCCTCGCTTTCAGAATGAGATGCGTCCTCCATGGAGCGCTGCGACAGGTTCACTTCCGCTCGTGTGTTGCTTTCAACAACATCCGGCCTACTCAAATCAATTGTTTCGATGTTTTTGTGAACTTTAAATATGCTTCTCTTCTTCTTTCGCTGTTTTTCTTCGTTGTCAACACTTGCAAGTCCTTGATCCGTGGAAGACGTTTTCTTTGGCGCTTTTGGTGGCTGACTCTCACGCCTTGCATGACCCTTTTTTGACTTTGGAGTCGCAAGGGGTGATTCCTCCCATCCTTTCGATCTCTCTTTGTCCTTCCTTCTTGATGGCACGGTAACCAATGCACGCTCCCTGCAAATCTCGTTCTCCAATCGTCTCTTTGATTTCTCGTTCCCGCTTCGTCTGTGTCTCCGCTTTGCTATCTTCGAGTCCAACTTTTATGTTTTTTTCACGCTTGTTTTTTTCTCACGATGCTTGAGGGATCTGCTTAGATCCTCGTACTTCGGCCTGGGAGTCATTTTCATGCTATACGATACACATAATTTAAAACACACGTATTTTAGGCACCACGGAATGTGGAATGTGGATCATTTTCATATTTTCGCAACACACACCTTTTTACACACACACACACACACACACACATACACACACACAAACACACACACACACACAAAGAGAGAGGGATGAAATAATAAAATGTTGAAGTCTTACTACCATTTCCATCACTCAAAGGTGGAGTATGAATCACAAGCGTCGGGGAAAGGTCGTAGTCATTTCCAATATAAGCGCCTCATCATTGAAACATCCACATGCTCTCTCTCTCTCTCTCTCTCTCTCTCTCTCTCTCTCTCTCTCTCTCTCTCTCTCT